TTATTTAAACCAGAACCTCCTTTTAAACACTGCAAATCTACCCTACCAGGAATATATATTTCTTTTAAAAAAATTCGTATAAATTACATCGCTTCCCGCTTATATTAATATAGCGTCCCATATCCAGAAAGCATATTATTGTAAATATATTGTAATGTCTATAACAGAGAGACACACGTGTGCAACAAGTACCGCAGCGTTACAGGGGGAACGCCGATTTTCCATCTTCGACTCCTCCGGCTTCGCAATCAACCGAGCAAGCCGAGCTAAGTGCGCGCTCACAGCGGATATAACGACTTGGGAAGTGTAACGGACTGTTTCAAACGCGGTCTCGCGTTATCAGCGGCCGCTTTAGCACCTGAAAATTGCCTCGCGCTTTTTCCACGCGCGACGCACTTAATAAAACATGCTCGCTCCTCCTGCTCTCCGGACCTCGCGCACCTGTCCCTCTTCCGCTCGGCGTCTCCTCTCTCGCTCCTGTCCACGCGCGCACCCTTTCGCCCGTGTGCATGCGCGTATACATGAGAGTGTGTGCGCACACACACATACACACACGAGCGCACTCACTTGCTTGCTCGCGCTTTACGTTCCCACTCTGTTTTCCTTTCCCTTCCTCCTCCTTTCCCTTGGTCGCGCTTCAACACCTTTGCTTCATCCTCGTTCCTCTTTCGAGTTTTGCGGTGAATGAATCTCTTTCTTTCTTCCTCCTCCTCCGTGTCCCCTTCGTTTTTCTTTCTCCCTTTTTCTCTGGGCCATCAGCCGACCCTTCTGTCTCGTTCTCCTCGAGGTTGCCGCCGATGCACCCTTCTCTTTCGGATACGCCGTTTTCCGTTAGGAGTATAGTATCTCGTACTCGCTCGCTCGGCACCACGCTGGCGGAACTTCCAACCGCTTCAGCGACAACCAAATAAATGTCTCTCGGACTACTTGCACCGACGCTTCTCCGCTACGCTTAGCTAATTCGGCACCGTGCACCGTACAAAACTTCGTAATCGAGGCTGGCGAAGGAGGTTTGGAAATTGGCCAATTAGTTGCGATTTAACTCCGCTTTCTTTCCTTCTGCAACGAGGGCAACACGTCGCAACACGTTAGAAGCGTCAATTACGATGCAGTAGGATATTCAAATTTAAGATTTTTACAATTAAATACGATTAGGGGTCTTTCTCATTTTTAGTAAGAAATTTCTCTCACAGTCGAACGATATATAGAGTATATCAAGATATATTTATATATATTGACAAAATTGACGCAAAGATAAATTTCATTTAAATACAATAAACAGTTGCTTTCGTGAAAGTTTCCTTAAAAGTTTGAAAAAAATGTATACTTTCTTATTCGAAAAGTATTTTATATTAGTATTTTACATGAATATAAAGCTGGAAAATAGGGCTAAAATTTCGACACGGATAATGTCATATTTTGTATAGCCCAATTTACATATAGCGTAGTTTGACGCGGCGATAATTTCCAGCAGCGGCCCGACGTGAGATTAACAATTGCGCGGGAAAAAACATACGCAAGATATATTCCGCGGATTTCAAAATGAATAAATTCTTATCGTGACACGTCGCAAGCCGGCAGTGGCCGATAAGCTCCGAATGAACTCGTTAATGCCGACATTCCTATTACGCTCACCAACTTTATTGGGTAAAAACGCTCTCCCTTCCGCTGTCATCGCACTCTTGTGCACGCGACAGTCGCGCACCGGCCGGATATACACACGTGTATACACGTGAAAGGAAGGGAATACCGCGACGTTGGTCGCGAGCGCGCCGTAGCGCGCGCGGTGCTCTCTCCCGCGATGGGCGTGGATAAACGAGCGGAAAAATGGCGGGGTTTGGAAATGAGATTTGCTGGTAAACCGACAATTTATCGTAGGTATCTGCGAAAGCATCTCTTGACGTTCCTCTGACCAGAGTTATAATTAATACGCTCTCGTCACAGTGCGCCCGACCAATATTCCGTCGCGCCCACACACGTACACATAGCGGGAATCACACCATGAGGGCGCTCCGCGTACGCGCGCACCGACGACGGCGGGCGCGCGCGTGTGTGGTCGCCGCTCGCGCACCGACGTGTAACCGGTTGTTGATTAAGTTTGAATGACTGATGCCGCAAAAACACATTAAAACTTGAATGAGTACAGATGAAAATTTAGTCGCTAGGAATCAAGAGACCGCAGAGGCAAATGGCCTGGCGGCCGCACATACGCGCGGAACGGACGGAACCTCCGCCACCACCGACCACCCCCTACCGCCCCCTGTCCGCCTTCCCGCTCGCCCCCCTGTCCTATCCTCGTACGTCCCCCTCTCCCCCCGCGTGCCCTTCGCAAGCCGACGCCGTTTCTCTCTCTTTCGCGATCGGATGCCCATCGAAATACAACTACGTGAAAAACACTCGGCGATTGCTATATCCACCGTCCGGAGGCACTCGTATCTGGTCGCATACCACAACGGAAACAGCCTGGTGCTCGGCTTTCGACGATCGTTTTTTCGGGCCGATCGATGTGTCCGCCAACAAGGATCGCGGGTCGCGCCAGAATTCAGACTTGACTCTGAATGGGGGTAGAAAATAGAGTTGATCGACTAAGTTTCTCTGGTCCCCCTTCTTCCGTCGCCGTTGTCGTCGTCGACTATCCTCCGCGACTGTTCGCTGATTTTTGTCGACATGCGCGCGCGTACGCCATAGATTCTCATCATCTGCTGACACGGTGATGATAAGCCTGCGTTGATGATAAGCACGGCCGATGCACGCCTCTAATTTCCGCAATCGCAAACTCTTGCCGGCCGGCTGAGTCGCGCATAACTTGGAATATTAAATCTCTATCACGCGGACAGCGGTCATCGATTTCTTTCGGCAAAAGTCAACATCCGTTTTCGTCGTAACGTGCTATCTTAATTGGACCGCCGCTCGATGTGGCCAAGACTCCCGTGGAAGCGAGATCGTCCATTGTCCGTCGTGGAACGCGTGCACCTTCTTCTCGCAAGAACGCGTCCAAATGCGGCAGTCGCGAGTCAATTTACATCCAACGCTCTGCAAGACGAGCAATTCATCCAACCGAGCGGAGGATCGTCGTAAGACAGGAAAAGGGAAAGGACCAGGCATGCTTATCTCAACCGTCGTCTCGTAAATACTTCAGCACCAATGGAAAATCGCGAAACCACCGCTCGAGAGTTCGTTCACGAGCCAGGAATGGGGATCCATCAAGCGACTGACTGTGACTGCAACGTACGGCAATAGGCAGCGGTGCGCGGCGATCGCCGGAGAAACTTCGCGAGATGATCGTTTCCGCAATAAAAATCGTCAACCAGATCGTAGCTCACGCACCGATACGGGGTGCCCGCACCACTCCCCGTCGGCCAATCAGGGCTCCCATCGCTTTAATGTATTCAAATGTAAGCGGTAGCAGTGTTTATGTCTTGACATTGCAAATTGTAGCGGCTGCGCCATAACTTATAGTAATTGCTGTGCGCCGGAGTAATTATTTATACTCGTGATATAGCGCACAGAAGTTACTCACAGTCACAGGATCTATATATACACCGACGTCGCGCGACGGTACGCGCCTGTACGCGTGAATATCGAAAAGGCCGCGGAATAGTTTGCGGTATTATGCCCGAATTTAGGCAGACGAATCGCGGCGACTTCGATGCCTCGCACCAGCAGAACGGCACCGGCGACGATCGAAGAAAGAAAAGTACACGGTTGCGGCTGAAATTCCCCGTACGTTTGATCGTGCTGTGGCTCGCGTTAATTAACAACACGACGATTTTCGACGAAGGTGTCGTCTTTTGTGTTCCACTTCCGCGGAAAGTTGCACAAAGTATTATCGCCATGATTAAATAGCGCCAGTTATAAAGATAACATCACGCTATATTAAAAAAATATTCTCACGTAATAACATATTCATTTCCTATTTTGTATGCAAGTAAATTTTTATTTTCCTGTTTTATTTTTTTTTTTTTTTTATTCAAGTCTATATCTCTCTTCATTTCGACGCGGAATTGGTCGAATCACTATTGGTAGGAATCACACGATTTTACATAATAATTGTACGGATATTGCATTAAATATATCTGTGACGCGTGAATAATATTTATAATATCATAATGTTACAGGTATTCCTTGTCAATTATATCCGTGAACAAAAATTTTTAATCCTCTACGTACGTGCCGCCATCTCACTGTCTCCGCTTGAACTTGCACAGGATTTCGATATGTTAAAAATGATTGTAAATAACGTGTTACGTCATAACGACGACTACATATTTATGACTATTTAGATCAACGAGATAAAACAAATGTGAAATTCGCAATAATTCGTCAAATCGCCCGAGTGCCCGCGTAAATCTCTCGCATACCTTTGTTTTAAACACACACACATACATACGCACACACGCACACACGCATGCTTACACGCACACACGAATGCGTACTTACGCGCACACACACGCACATGCATGCACGCATGCACAAACACATTCGCACCTCGTGGTTGTGTAATTGACAAGCTCAATTATTATTCTCACAATCGCTAAGAATTTACGCGAAAATACAGGCATACATACCGAGAATAAGATTAAGAGAGTTTAACAAAGTTCGCGATTTCTGTCGATAAATCAGTTTAAGCATTCAGTCGATGAGAACGGGGGTGGTTTTGCGGTGTAACAGGTGGTTGAAATTCTCATTCTCCGCAGCTTTTTGCTCCTTTATCGGCAAAAAAGGAAAGAATAAGTTCCAGTTTATGAATCGGAGCGCGTTTAACGCTTCTTAAAAGGGTAAAGCGCCTCCGATGGCTCTCTCAGCGAGGAAAATTTCCGTGCTTTTACGAGACTGTGGAATATATCGGTGGAATATGTGGGAACCGTTCCTTTTCTTTCCTATTTTATTTTTTCTTTCTGCGGGACAGGATTGTAACGGCTGGTTTGCATTCCGTAAGTTTATTTATTTTGTCGATGAACCTACATGTAAGATCAATCGAAGACAAATAACAAACGTTGTGTCTTTCATGAGAGTTCTATTTCAATGTTTTATACTTTTTTTTATCACAAACTCTTAATACTATCTTAATTGACAATACTGACCACTGTGAATTATCGAAAAATCGTCACTCGTATAATGTTGAAACTTATAATACTTATGGTACACAAAAATTAAATTATGGTAGACAGGGTATTTAGTTAATTAAATAAAAATTGAAATATTTACAAGGGTATTCACAGTTCATCATCACGGATTTATTAAAAGAATCTTGTTTAGCCTACTTAAAGCTTATGAGTATTCGTAGAGTAACGAGGATACAAGATAGAGTGCGTCAAGGAATACAGTAGCGTATATTGCCTCTATAAAATATATTTTTTTTCTTGCAGAGTTTCTTGCGTCATTTTATGATTTAATACAAAACGATATTCGTGACACTATTATACTTTCTCAACGTGTTCTCGGTATTCTCTGGTAATCTTATTTATCCTCGATAAACTACTCCTTAACGAGTTACTCACGTAAGTGCGGCTCCACTTACAAATACGCTACATATCACCCGAGCCATGTTAAAATCTTGCGATTCATGTCCATAGATTATCAGCGAGTGACAAAACAAAATGTATTTTCGATGTAATTACGTGACACATGTCGCGAAGTATATTTTTTAAAGAATAAAAATAAATCCGTTTAATACTACTTATAAGATTTCTTATAAGATTTCCAAACAAATCAGTCAGTCTTAAAGTATTACTGGTATTTGAGTTTTGCGGCGACCAGCAGCTGGATAATCACCAAGGTCTCCACATATCACCGTTAGTACCGGAAGGACCCGCCAAATTCATCGAAAATTTGTCAGAGTTAGGGTTCTGCGAAGCCTGACAATTCAAGCTTTCCGGATCTTCTTCTGTCACAGCGACAGAGATCTGTTCGTTCGTATTTTTAGGCGTATCGGTGTGGTTCATTGAGGAAGTTGAACTAGTGGCTTCTTGATATCGCGGTCTCTTATTTGAAATCGCTAAAAGTCCGTTAGAGTAACGTTTCTTTAAATCGTCTAGTCTGGACATCGAAGAATTCGGGGCGCGATTGTAAGTCTTATCCGTGATCACCGAAAGAGGTTGTCGCAGAATGTGCGTTGCGAGACGATGCGCACTCGCCGAGCCTTCCATCGGATCTTTCCTAGCAGGCGCGACGTTATTATCTACGACTTTAGGCTCGGCGAATGTGATCGGTGACTTTCGGTCGCTGGTGGAACTGATTTGCGGCCTCTGGGTCTCCGGCGAGGAGGAGAAGCTTTTGGAAGACGCGGGGCTCTGCTCGGGTAACTTGAAGTGACGTTGCGGCTGATGATTAGGCGACAGAGATTGCGGATAATGCTCCGAATGATGGCTCTCGTCGCCGTAGCTGGACGTAGAAGTCGAAGGGCTCGGCAACGGGCTGTGCGGCCTTTGAACCGCGGTGAAAGCCGACGGTTGACCGATCCTCGTGGCCGAATCGGGGGCCGGTGGGAAGAAAGGAAAATTCGCGGAAATGTTGGCTGACTGCGGCACCAGCAGCGCCAGTTCGCCCGTCGGCAGCCGACTGGGAATCAGCTGCACCCCGTTCGGTATCTGTATTCTCGCGCTGCCGTTGTTATTCTCATCCCCATTCTGGAAATCGCTCTGGAAACCGACCTTTACTTCCGGATAGAGGCGTTCCGGCATGTAGGGCACGTAGTGGTTGTAGAACGGCGCCATTTGCTGGAGATTGTTCACGCAGTTGTTCAAGTGCGATACCAATCGTTGCTTGACGACAGGATCGACGTTCTCGAGCTGGCTGACGTACCGCGATACTTCAGTAGCACATTCGGAAAATCCAGTGCGGAATTTAGTTAGCACCGCTGGATCGGTCGAGATGGCCGCGCTCAATTGCTGCCGGTGCACCGTTTGTATATGCTTCACAGCCATCTCGAGAATATCAGCCTTCTCCAGTTTTGAGTGTCTAGTCGGCTGCAATAATCGAAAACGACGGATGATCAGTGATTGATGATGATAGCAATGTGAGGAAGCGTCACGCAGGCTAATTTATCGAACAAGCGTCAGTCAAAGCGAGAATGACCTTGAACTCGGTCGAGAAAACAGGAAAAGATGTGGTAGTAATGTCGCGTCGGTACAGTAGGACACTGTATTACTCACAAAAGTTAGCAGGACGGATTAATAGAAGGTAAAGAGGAATTCGGTGGGATCTCTTCTTACTCAATGCACAGTAACTGTATATCCGTGGGTCTCCTCGCCGAGAGAGAAATATTGATCCTTCCATTGAAGAAATCTACGATGACGCGACACGCCCACGTAATTGACTCGATATGAATTAGAACTCCAGCGTAATAACAGAGCAGAGCAGCTACGGTAGCTAATGCGACCTGTTTTATAGTCGGCCTAAGGGCGCGCATTCTCCAGTATTTTACATTAAAAAGCGCGCACACGGTAGATTATTAACCCGCTTCGTGCGAGTCGCGCGCGAATCGCCCAGGGCTGTTTACTTCTCGCAAACGTGTCATTATGGGACGCGATTGATCAATGTTCCGTCAATATCGAAATCCGGGCACATCGCATATAAGATGATTTGATACTTTGCCGGTTACCTGCTCCGATAACTCGTTATTCTCGAGCAAATGGTTTACTCGAGTCGTGGGAAACGCGACTCAACTTTCGAAAGTATCACGAGACGGTTTTCCCGGTATCATGATGGACGTGACCCTTGGCGAATAGAGCTTATGCTGTGGAAAGCTCCCACCAGCCCTTTAGCAAGCAATAACTCAATAGTAGCACGGTTCTCCTTTTTCAAGGAGCTATTGTGTGCCTTCTATTCTTCGGACTTTGTCCTACCGGATCATCTCGGTGTTCACATTTTATGGTGAATTTGCGGTCACGTTCGGTCTGGGCGTGGGAGTCAACGTGGGATCGCGTTTCGTCTACGCGACGTCTCCTCGAAGAATTTCAATTATCACACATTTACACGGTAAAATCGCTCATACGACGCGAAGATCATGATTGTGCGCGCGGGAGTGTAGCGAGAACGACACCGTGTGTGAAATGGAGGAAACGCACATCGATTTTCCCGCGAGTGAATCCGACACCCGGGCATAAGAGCGGAAAAATGGCACCTGCTGAAGAACTGACAAAAATGAAAAAAAAAAAAGCAGAGGCGTTGCGCATCTCTCCTTTTTTCACCGATCCGCACCGTCGTCGTCGCGCAGCCGAGCTGGATCCTTAAAGATGATACGGTCAACAAAGGGAGGCTGCAACTTGAGATGAGGTTCTTTTTTCCTTCGTAATAATTATTTCGAGGTTCCCACGAAAGCGAGCAGCGTTTCATACAGACGAACGGAACGGACACACCGGAGCGAGCAGGTAGCGGAAGTCATCTGGACGAAGCGGAGAGAAAGAGAGAAAGAGGAAGCGAGATAGAGAAAAAGAAAGAGAGGGAGGAAAAGAGAGAGTAAGAGAGTGCGAGAAAATACGAGACGACAAGAGAATTTGGTCTCGTTATACGGCTGTTTGAGGAATCAATCTCGTTGGATTTTATTACGTAGCACAAAATGTTCGCAAGAAAGTAGGTTATAGCTCGATCGACCGATCGATCGATCGAGCGAACGATTCAATTGCGCCCAAGTGCATTTGATCCATGATTACGACTCGTATCGCGCTTTAAAACGAATTCTTGCGCACGTCGATTATCTCCATAATCGAGTATCAAACATTACGCTGCACGCTGTCGGGTCGGCTGATTCAGCAATATTTACGGGCGGCGAAACGCGAGAGCTATCCGCCGGATCAATTTTGGGACGGCGCGGTATAATTGGAGGATCTTTGACGCTTCTTTTAACCGGTTCGAGTGCCATTGTAAAATCTACAGAACAGATTACGCGCGAGTATGTGGGCGCCGGTTCCGCGCGTCCGTTCCCACGCCACGGAGCCTCCTAAAATACTAAAACAAAACCTCATCCCCACCTCGTCGTTTTCGATCCTCTAAAACAAATCCTGTCGCGGAGGATGCCGGAGGAAAAAAGGGGTCGGGCAGCCTGATCAAATACATCCAATATACATCCGTTATGGCAACTTCCGCTACCGACACAATTATTAGTCCTGCGTTTCGTTGAGCTTCGTATTACGGCGACAAAAATTATATTTTTCAATGTATAATTCCGTTTTGGCTTGGACGTGACTTCGATTTATGTAAAAATGGAAGTTTTTCAATTTTATAATAATACACCTTCATGGTGACTAATAATTCAATACGTATAAACAATTTAAAATATTCTCTCCTTTCTTGTCTTTTTTTCCTTCTTATTCTAACAAATTAAGCTGTAAGTGAATGCGTGAAAGTCAACTGATGCAGATATATAAACAAGCGATTGTTTCTCCAAGTCACATTACACAAAAAAATATATTTTGAGTATAGATTTTTTTATTATGATACTTGAAAGTTATTATTTTATGTTTAAAACGTACATTAGTTTATAACTATTTAACTATTTAGGTAAAAATAAAAAATTATATTTACAAATCAAATTTATATAAATTTCTACACGAAGTCATACAAGTTGACTTCTACGCAAGCATTTGCAAAAAAATCACACCTACTTGAGAATTAAGTGGAAATAATAAGAATAAAAATACTCAGTATAGCAACGCTGTATTAGCGTATATATTAGCATTAGCTTATAAGAAATATCTTCCTTAAGCGTCCTTCGTGCGCGATCAGAAGTAGCACATTTTTCAACGTTATCTCTCGTAAAGAGGGATCACGTCTCCAGATAAACAACGCAACGGTCACGTTTTTCTGCGGCACGTTTCGGCGCTACACCGGCAACGTTGTTTTTGCATGAAGCGAACATAGTCACGTATTTACACCGGCGTATAGCCTTGTCGTGAATTTGCTGTTTAAGTCTGCTGCTAAGCGACTTGGGCGCAATTAGAAGATCAGAAGACGCGAAAGATGTTAATTGGCCATTCAATTACATTCTCATGCGCGGTCGGAATAAATGTTCGTTTTACTTGTTAGTGAAAATGCCAGAAATGCGACTTACGTCTTTCTTCATTGCATCGAGTATAAGAGTCTTCAGTTCGTCGAGACTTTGATTGATTCGAGCGCGTCGCCGCTTTTCCATAATTGGTTTGTTGCTCTGAAATAGTCCAATTTGCCATTTATCCACAAGAGCATATTTTTCATTATAATATTATATTACTTCGGTTTAGAGTTGGAACATATTTCGCGGCACGTGTTAAAATTCTTCTCTCTCGCAGAGATACGGAATTTTTCTCTTCCCGACAAAGAAAATATTATCATTTCGTAAAACCTGAATTACCTTCCTCAGTTCCGCTTTCGTCAATTCCGATTGGGATCGCGGCTCGAAATCCTCTTTGCCCAACATTTTGTAGTTGTAATAATCCACCATTTAAACGGGATCCTTAATTACCGTTTTCGTATGAACGTGAACACTCTTGCATAGTCCTTAATTAATAATCTCGGCAAATATCTTGACTATTTTCTTCTTGCACACTCACAACATTGTATCAGAATCGCATATTCGCACCGAAGACCACTGAAACTTGGTTTCCACTTGGTGTCCCAGTCATTGTTGGATGCACTAGAATGACTATGTTAGGGATGTCTACCGTTACCGATGTCGTCTCGGTTAGGATGTCGAGGGTAACTGTTTGACGTTTTCGATTTCGAAGACCACATGCCGATGTACCCGTATACTTGTGGAGTGGGGCAAACTACCCGCAGTGGGGGTATTGGGTACCACGAAGTGGGGAGCCCTTAGCCCTCGACTCTCGGTCCTCCTGAGACCTGTTGATGTGTGGGAATTCACGCCGTCTGCGGGATATACCTTCTGTGACGTAGTCACTTAAATTTGGATTACATCCTGTGAAGATGGTATCGCGCCGGCAATTTAGATCATTTCACATCTGCATTTCCGCACGTCCGTTTTTATTTTGCAGTTACACACACACAACATATACATTGCTTTTCACCCTCTTTTTGGAGTAAGACATCCGACTTTTCAATAATAGTTTAAACTTAAATCTAAATTTAAACTACTATAGAAAAAAATTGGCCCTAAAAGATACACGTATTACAATCAGTATATTGTGACAGGAAAAATATCTAAAAAATAAAAAATATTTATTTGGAGTATTAATAACATATACATATATTTACTTATTCTACTATAAAATATTTTTGAAATAGAAGAAAACGTACATTTATGATATACATAATACATTAATAAATTATTATTATTATTATTATTAAACGTCAGATATTTATATATTATTAAATATAAATTTTCTCAAAATCTTAAATTAAAGGGATTATTTTATTTAAATAAAAGAATTTAGATTTAAGCAAATATGTTATTTATCCATCGAATAAATTTTTTTAGATGTTTTTTCTCACAATATGATATTTTTTAAATCTTTCCCTTGTTATTTCATAAAAAAAAAAAAATCAACAAAAGAATACGAAAATTCGACGTTACGTGTATCATTAGCATTCTTTATTCTACTCTGACTGTAGCTATTGCGCGTAAAATTCTAATGCTAACGCTTCGACTTCAATTTTCGTTGCGACACGGACGACGCGATGTCAATGAAAAAAGAGACCGAGTGTTAGCGCGCATCGACCGTAGTAGCGGTAAAGTACAAAGGCGTGCAATAGAGAATCATCTGACAGAGAAGGGCAAACATGTCGCGGGCCGACGTGTGTACGTGTGTGCATACGCGCGCGTCATAAGTGTGGCTAGCGCGCGCAACGCGATCCGATACATCGTCAGTACGGATACGCATACGGGAGCAGAAGGGGCCCCCTCGTGTGGGAATTGTTCTAAAACATGCTGTGTTACCTACCCGAGCAGAATTACGCGCGCTTTTTCGTTCCCCCTGTATGTAAAAAATTATATATTATACATTTTCTATTAGATTACATCCCAAGATGAATTTTAGGCAACTTGTTGACATTCGTTATCTGGTTTTCATTACGACGATTAGTGCTCGAGTCTCAGTCACAACTTTCAAATAATGTATGTGACGTTCACCGCAGGGTAAGAACATTTTGTCAATTGAAATAGTATACTGTGAAATAGCGTAGAAATGTTTGTATTATAAGAATCCTAATATATTTTAAAAAAGCATATCGGAGCACACTTGCGCATGAAAGATAACTCGCGTGTCATTTACAAATTTGTTTGAGAGAACAATAAATAGATAAAATTTTCTGGTCTTGAATTACAACACTTGAAAACTTTCATTTGTAGTTAGTGCCTCGTATTGTATTGAACATTGTATTGAATGGTAGTCCGACGCTCGGACTTGAGAATTTAAAGTTCTTTAAAAGTGTTGATTTATTTCGTCGCATCTTTACAAACACTTTGCGTTTTAAGACTCTTTTAAAAGCCTAGACCTAAACTTAAACTTGAACAAAACCTTTTACTGTATCGGGAGACGCATTTAACATCCGTATACACAATCAGCGTAAGAAAATGTAATTAACTATTTTAAGATTGGAGGATTTTTTATGAATTTTTGATGAAATATCACGCTTCAATCAATTTCGTATTATAATATTTTGATATTTACAATAATCGCCAAAAGTATGAGTAAATTTTGCATTTATCATCTTTTGAAAAAACATTTGTTACTTTTGTTGTAAAAATATTTTGTTGCTTTTGTCGTGAAACAATTTTTTTACGGAAGAATGAGAAATATAACTGGAATGTATGAAATGTTTCTGCGCCCACATCAAGTAACTATCATTACGAGCAAGAAGTCGTTTTTATATCAATAGTCACGACATATCGCGAACATGGGATCTAACCGCAATGAATTCGTCTACAACGACGTGCAGCTGCACGTCCAACTTTCGCACTAGCATTAATCCGGACGCATTATGCGTGTACGAGTCAGCAAATGCAATGAGAGCTCTTTAGCGAAGTTAGACCATCAGATGTTGATAAATCAAGATCCCCATGAAACGTGACGACATAACTCGATAGGTGCGACCGGTTTATATTCGCAATATTTTTTACGTGTTTATGCGTGCCTCGAGTGTGTCGACGTCTAGATATCCGATAAACAATTCAATACTTCTTTTCGACAGATTCAAAACCCCTTTCTGCTTCATGTACACGGTGGTGTGAGAGCGTTCATTGTAATAATTTGATAACGATCGATTTGTGAACAGCTGCCATTTGAACCTTCCGCGAGAAATATCGAGACAATACCTCACGCTTATTGCAAGCTACATAAATAGCAGCTTTGATAAGCATTTTTATATTAAATTTTTCATGCAAAAATCAATTTCACATGGAAATAAATATATATTAACACATCTTGTATAAAAAAGAGAATTCTTTGAATTTAGTATTCTTATTCATTTGACTGCAATTTGTTTGATTTAATAAAATAATTTTATATCGAACAGTATAAATTTATATTAAATATTACACATACACATTTTGTTAAACAAATCATGTTATTTGATGGAAAAATACTAATTATTTCAAGAAAATTTTTAACTAAATAATATATTATTTGTGTGTGTGATCGAGTGTGTGTATGTGCGCGCGCGTCTTAAATTCTGTTTTGTTAGATTAAATCATATTATGTTAGATTAAATCATATTATTCATAAAAAAAAACTATTTCGTTTTTCAATCTAACTAAAAAAACTATTTCGTTTTCTAACCTATTATTTGTTTTAAACAATATAATATTTAGTTACAAATCCAGAAGCAATTATGTCATCATTGATTCGCTAATAAATATTTTGTCAATATCCGTTACATATCGACTAAAATGATAAAAAAAAGACCAATAATGCGGAAAAAGAAATGTTAAATTTTTTAAAATTATGTAAACAAAATTATCGCATTTTTTTAATAAAACGAGATAATTAATAGAAATAATTTTCTTCTATGAACTAAGCAAATTATTTGAAACAAGCAATAAGATTATTTTGAAAGCCAAATCGTATTTATTGATTGAAATATTAGTTTCTCTGAACCATTATATTGATCAGATTCTTTGTAAACTTACGCATACTGTGTACACATACTTTGTAATTTTGTGTTTTATGATTGAATTCTATATATATTATTCTATATATTATGATTGAATTCTATATATATTGAATTCTATATATATTAGTAAATTCATGTCATACTATGCTACAACAATGTCCTTGTGAACCTTTCTGTGCATCAACAGAAGACGTAATATTTTCTTACAAGCTTACGAAACTTCATAAAACTTTTGTCCTTTTTAACTTTTACGTCGACATCTGCAACCTTCCGGTCCATGCGCGAGATCTTGGGAAAGTAGCGTGACTGATCTAACAAAAGGATCACTGATCTCAAGGTCTTTCTTTAATTTATCCTTTATCGGTGATAAGTAGTTTAGAACCTACATTCTATGCAATGCTTCCATTCGTTTAGTATTAATTCTGGACCGTGAGTTTATTGAAATTGTTTATTCAAATCCTTTTGTATTCATTTTTTCATAACAATCGCAATTCTATTAATGGAATATACACGAAGAAGAGAATCAAAGAAGATAAAATAATAATTGATTCGCACATCGGAGAATGTTATTCTATTTGTTTACATTACACACAATAAAAAATATTACATAGATTCGTAAGCATTGGATAAGAGCAAATTTTATGCGAACGCCTTGCTACACTTCTTCTCATGGGATCCTCTCTTTTTCCCATGATCCATAATTTCCCATAAATATTCCGGCCTAGCTGTCATAACGGAAGGCGTTCGGTCAGATGTCGCGACCTTCTCATTAACCCGGAGAGGTTGAGGGCCTGGAGTAGTTGGCTTGACCACAAACCTCTCAAGAGAGATCAAGAAGGCGCGCCACGGTTTAAATTTGGAACGCCCACCCCTTCGTTCCTTCGTTTTTGAGGTTCGATCTTGGGATGCACCTGCAGCTCGCACCCACGCAACCATCAGATCACACAGGAAGGAAATGTTATCCTTAAATCTCACGAAATCTTCATTTCCGCTCGCTCACTGTAGATAGAGGCTGACCTTTCTATTTCACAAGAGAACTTTCCTTCCGGGTCGATTCTCTTTTTCCATCCCTTTCTCTCTCTCTCTCTCTCACTCTTTCACTAAGCGTGTTTAACGCATATCACGCTTTTCGAAAAAAGCACCAAACGATCAGAAAAAACGTGTCATAAACTTTCTCGAAATACACGAAACTAGAATCCATGAATATTAATATAACATGTATATATATACATGTATAGCCAATCGCCCTTTATCGACGGCTCAAAAAAATGTGCGTATGGGGTCGATGAAACGACATCTGGATTGTCGTTCCCCAGGAAAAGCGGCTTGTAAATGCGGGAAAATGTAATGCGGGAAAATGTCGTTTCCGTGGCAGTTAATGAGAGGGAAAAAACACTGTTCTCACGTAAACGACGTCATTTATAGCTTTTTACTATTTGTTCCTTTCAGAAGAGTGTCATATGTCTCCTTAATAATTTTTTTCATTAAAGAAATTGATTAAATTATAGATAATAATTATAAGTAACTCTAAGCTTTAGAACCTAAGTTTTCATAACTTATCTTTCTTTTAGTTAAGTTAGAAAAATGAACGTAATTTTCTTCAAACTATCACAATTAAAGATAATTAGAAAGCTAATTTCTTCAAAATTTTG